CAAGAGACAGACACGATGGCTTGGTATCCCCATCCCACCAAGAACTTGCCACAATTTAGTATGATCCACACAGTCAAAGACTCTAGAATAGTTAATAAAACAAAAATAGATTTTTTTTCCTGAAACTCCATTATCCAGCAGATATTGGCAATTTGGTCTCTCATTCCTCTGCCTTTTCTATACTCAGCTTGTACATCTGGCAACTCTCGCTCCATGTATTGCAGGAATCTACCTTGCAGGATCTTGAGCATTACCTTACTGGAATGTGAAATAAGTGCCACTGTACGCAAGTTTGAGCATTCTTTAGTGTTTCCCTTTTTTGGTGTGGGGATATAAATGGATTTTTTTTTCAATTTGATTGTAGCACTCCAGGCCAGGAATCCCTTTGACTACAAACACCATACAGCTGAGCAAAATAGCAAGACCATGGCCATACATCCTGAAGAAACCTACAACAACCTAGCAAGCAATTACTGAAGATAATTAAAGCAGTATCTGTAAAAAGTAATCCACAGTAAAAGGTAAATCCAAATAGGTAGAAAAGGTAGATAGAAACAGATAATACAGGAAAAAAACCCAAAATAATCCATGAAAACAAATACTGGAACTTCCAAGGCAAAAATCCCAAAGTACTTGAACATGAATCAAAGAAGGCACTTCAACATGAATAACAAGGCACTTGATACAGGAATCAATCAAAGGCAAGACATCCAGGAACCTGAGATGAGATCTTGACCAAATTCCAACATTGCTTCATCTGGCTACAGATTCTGTACTTGACACTTTTATCCCTGTTATCTACTACTACTGTGTTTCCCAAGAAAGGATTCTTTCTCAGCCTTGGATTGTCTGCCAGCCTCTGTTGTCATCTGCCTGGGTGCCTGGTTTGTCTTTGCTGACTGAAAGTATTTCTTCTGTTCAGAGGCTCATTAACTTCTGCACCTGGACCAGGCTCAAGGCCTTGAGAATTCTCTTGTAACAATTCAGACCCAGGGAACAGACCATCATCCCCCAATCCCTTTAGGAACATTCTCATCAGAAGAATCACTTTGAACACGAACCACACTGTCATTCCCTGGATCTACAGCAACCTGATCATTGAATACATGAACCACATTGTCATTCCCTGCATCCACAGCAACCTGATCATCAGACACATGAACCTCATTGTCACTCCCATCATCCAAAGTACCCCGATCATTAGACACAATCACAGGATGAACTCCAACATTGATGACCATTCTTGTGTTTTCCGTATTTGCTGGCATATGGCATGCATCACTATAACAGCATCCTCTTTCAAGATTTTAAACAGTTCAGCTGAGATCCCATCATCTCCTGCTGCCTTGTTCTTAGCAATGCTTCTTAAGGCCCATTCAACCTCACTCCTCAGGATGTCTGGTTCTAATTCACTCACCACACTGTCAAAGCTATCCTTGATATTATCTTTCCTATGCAGATCTTCAGTATATTCCCAACAAGTAAATAGTGCTTACCAGTACTATATTAACAAAGCTGTTCAGAAAACAGTCCCAATTGTCTGGAAAATATGGTGACAATAGGGCCTTTCTGGGAGCTTTCTTCCTGGCTGCCCTGTAGATACAACAGGGCCTCCCAACACATACACACATCTCACTCCATTTTGCTTCAATCCCAATCTCGGCTGCAAGGCACATAGGAAAAAACACAAATTCTTCCTCAAAAACACCAGACTAAACTGGAGGTGTTATTTTTATTGCTTCAAAACGTTAAGCAAAAGATCAGATTTCAAAATGAATTGGGAATAACAGTGTGTGATATATCAGAATTGAAATCATGGTAAAGCTCCATTATTTCCCATGTGAAGATTCAGCCCTAGAAAAGAACAGAGAACGTTTCCCCTGTTTTATCCTGGCTAGCATACTCTGTTTCATCTGCTATCTTTAACTAACAAGCATTTCCAAGACACTGAGACAAACTTGCTGATAGCAGTTTTTTTAGAGATGACTCAGAAGTTCATCTTTCCCTTTGGAATAAGTCATGGTTGAATAAGATTTGGTTCCACCTCCTATTTTGAAAGACTCTGATACATCTTGTACCCTGCAGCCCAAGACTCAGCAGCTCAGTTACAGTCATATGCAGCTGGGCCTTTTCTATGAACAGCTGCAGAATAGTTTAAGCCTCCACAGTCTTACTTTCCATAGATGAATATGAACCTCAGTTGCAGATAAGAGTTCACTGGAATAGAGCAAAATAATAAGCTGGTTAATATCAAAGATGTGCCCTGAAGTCAGTGGAACTAATGAGAAATGAGCCCTTTGAAAACTGAGGCCAGGTGTAATAATTTTGAAATGCTCAATACACCAATGTTGTTTTTTTTCCTATAGTGTTTCATCAACAGTGTTTCCCCCTCCTCTAGTATGTAATCCTTCGCCACATAAGACTTTCATGTCAGGACCATTTTGTACTTAACTGATTGACTTCTTAAAGATACTTTGTAAGTACTTAGAGGAATATGAAATAATGCTCCCCACAACCAACCAAATTGAAATGTAATCCATGCAATCATTCCAATCCATGCTCCTGATCAGTTGAAAGGCACATGTGTGTAGTGCCATATTCTTCAAAGGTAATTTAAAGATGGGTTTAAAGCTAACCCTAAAAATGTGGCATAAACACTGAGAACTGGGAAGGACAAATGGTTCCTCTTCATCTTGGAAAGAAGTGACTAGTGGAGTGCTACAGAGTTCAGTCCTGGGCCGAGTACTGTTCAACATCTTTATTAATGACTTGTATGAAGATTTAGGGTGTGCTTATCAAGTTTGCAAATGACACCAAATTGGGAGGGATAGCTAATACTCCAGAAAACAGGATCAGTATTCAAAATGACCTTAACAGATTAGAGAACTAGGCCAAAATTAACAAAATGAAATCCAACAAGGACAAATTTAAGATACTACACTAAGGCAAAAAAAAAAAAATGAAATGCAGAGATACAGAATGGGTAATGCCTGGCTCAACAAGAGTCCATGTGAAAAAGATCTTGGAGTCTTTGTGGACAAGTTGAATATGAGCCAACCATGTATTGCAGCAAGAGATATTGACAAACTGGAAGGGGTCCAGAGGAGGGCAACTACAAGGATAAAAGGTCTAGAGACCATACCCCATGAGGAGCATCTTAAAGAGCTAGACATGTTGTAGGTTTTTTGGGCTGTAGGGCCATGTTCTAGAACATGGCCATACAGCCCGAAAAACCTACAACAACCCAGTGATTCCTGCCATGAAAGCCTTCAACAATACAGAACTAGGTATGTTTTAGGTATGTTTAGCCTGCAGAAGAGAAGGTTGAGAGGAGGCATGATAGCTATATATAAATATGTGAAGGAGTTTCATAAGAAAGAGGGAGCAGACTTGTTTTCTGCTGCCCTGGAGACTAGGACTAGTGGCTGAAAGACCTGGGCATGTGGAGCTGAGAGGAGACATGGTTGCCATGTGTAAATATGTGAGGAGAAGTCATAGGGAGGGGGGAGCAAGTTTGTTTTCTGCTGTCCTGGAGACTAGGATGCTCAGCAATGGGTTTGAATTACAGGAAAGGAGATTCCATCTGAACATTAGGAAAGAACTTCCTGACTGTTCAGCAGTGGAACTTTCTGCCTCTGAGTGTGGTAGAAACTGGATGGCCATCTGTCAGAGATACTTTGATTGTGCTTTTCCTGAATGGCAGGGAGTTGGACTAGATGGTCTATGTGGTCTCTTCCAACTTTATTATTCTATGACTATGTTTTCATACTTAAATATCTCTGTCTAAAAAGAATGGCATAAACTATATACTTTACCTAAAACAAGTAAACTCCATCTTTTTTCTAATGTCATGGTTAGGTGCACAGGATTTATAGCCCTATAACAGTATTTATCATGTCCAAAAGTCATGTCCAATGGCCAAAGTCGCAAAGACTTTGGATACTTAAGAAATAAAAAAAACAATATTAAAAGCAACTTGGATTTTTAACAGTAGCTTGAGCATTTTTGCATTATTTTATAAGAAATGCATACTATGAGATCCAGTTTCTAGTGAAACAGACTAGTAACCAGATACAATTTTATTACTCATTTGTACAAAGTCTGGCTATAAAGCGAAGGCAACAAAGCCATTTAAGCATGCTGTTCCATCATGATTTACAGTCCCAGACACAGTCCTTCACCATCTTCTGAGGCCAATCTCTGGAGCCATTTGCAATCTCAAGATTAATTTCACTGGAAAGGTTGCATAGTTACAGAGTAGACTGCATTCCTTTCCTTTTAAGGGGATGCTTGTCTGCCCTTATTTTTTTAATTGCTGGAAAATATGTGAAGGCTAGTGTTCAGTACTTGCACTAAAGGAGGCACTTTACATCAGTCATGTTGCTCATAGATGAAAGAATCTAGACATTCATTGCATGATCTACATGGCATTTTGCATCTCTTAATTTTCTTGTGTTTATTATTACTATTCATAAGTATATTGGACTGGATCCCTTTTAAAGAAATGTATGGTTTATATCTCTGGAAAAAGGCAGTTTCACATTGGGTGAAGCCCAGAAAATCAAACAACCCCTTTAGGAAGCCAACTTGCTCCAAATACATGGTTACATTATCAGAGAGACGGTGGTGGTGATGTATGAAAAGCAGAGACCTCCATGACTCAGGGAGGTGATGAACTGACAGGCAGATGGAGCCCGTTATCTTAACTTCTCAGTCCAAGTTTTCCTGTAAAACTAGCTGAAGGGGAGAGGGCTTTTAAGCAAGTGCGAGACACAGAAAGTAAAAAAAAAAAATTGGGGAGGAGGAGACTGAAAAAACAGATGGGCAATGCATGAGATGGTGCTTGCTTTCTAAAGTGCATGACTGAAAAGTCTGCACAGTTGGAAAGTTTTAGACTTCACCAATTCTGTGGCAACTAGGTTTGGATATCTCTGAAGTCTCCTGAATTGCCACTATCAAGGAGAGTTTGTTGATGCTATTTATCTATTGAGCCTAGAAACATTCATTTGGATAAACAGGATGTTTCAGAACCTGGTTCGGCATGCGACCTCGGCTTATCGTCCGCTCCCCACGCACCATCCAGGGGAGCCAGGAGCAAAGTATACTGGCAAGATGGTCCATGAAACCCAACTCAGTTGCTTCTATAGTCCACCTGGAGGTAAGGGGCTCAAGTGACATGCTGTGTATAACCGCATAAAGATATACCCGGATTTTATGCTATATAAACATGTTTTATAAATACTTGAGTAACTGATAAGGTATTTCAACCCCTTGCTGCAAAATATGCAACATACTGATCTATGGAATTCGGGGCGGGGGGGGGGGGGGTATCATAACAAATACTGTTGTGTTTTGAATACTTCATGTCTAGCATTTTTGTCTAGATTACATATGAAAGTGAATTTCCCTGGAATGGGGATAGTTAAATCTAGAATGCCGTATTAACGAACAAAGTTCAGGAGCAGGGAATGTAGTAGTTTGAGAGAATAATGCAATATATACAAATGTTAAATTTTATTTATTATGCCGAACCTACTGAAAGACAATTTGATACACCGAGGACTAGTGCATACATAATATAATTCATATCAGATACCATTTAATTTTTGCATTGGCATTATCTTCAACCTCAACATTGCTATACTTTTTGTTTCCACTGTTAAAAATAACCTGGCTGTTCTTTTGCCAAATCTTATGTTCTGCACTTTTGTTTCCTAACATGCATTTTTTTAAAAATCTATCCCCACTGAAATTAAAGTGGTTTGTGCATAAGCACCTTGCCAAAGGGCTTGTAGACTTTTGAAACTGACTACCAGATGTTAACCCTGATTGAGATTTTAATAATCGAATCTCTCATTTTTGAAAAGTTTTTTAGACACGTGGAATTTTCATTTTACCTGTTTGGATAGAATTAGAACCTATTTTGATGGGTATTCTCTAACACTATGGAACAGGGATAGTAAGCAATCTGACTTCTCCCCAGCCTTAACTACTATCAGCTACTTATGGTCTTTCTTATCACAACAAAATCTAGGATTCCTGCAGTGGGCAGAATGTGCTTAATAAAAAAATATACATCAAGACTAGTGTGGTGTGTTACACATGTTGAGAAATCCAAAAAGGAACAATCTGATAAATGGCAATACATTTATTTAGTTTTATGAATGCCATTCATATCTCCAACGCACAAGAAGTGCTCAGAGTATCTATCCACTTTCACTTGTCTTAGATTCCTCCTACGTCCAATTGTAATGCTATCAACCCTCACTGTTGACAGTCCACATAGCAATGTTATCTTAGGCACTTCAGTCCATCTCCTCTCACATGGCATTGTTCTGATTTGATGTAATATTTAACACTAATTAAAACAATATTGTTAAACTATTATAATTTGCTTTATATATATGTATGCATGGTTGGTGATGTTTACTGATACATTTCCAGAAGAAACAAAGTAGATAATCCCATAAATTATTTAAATCATTTGAAGTAATCACTTTTACCACTATATATAACCTAGTCTACATATAAGCAAACAAAACTGCCTTGGAGTGATTCAGACCGCAGGTTTATATAGCTCAGTTGCTGTCAGGAAGCAATTCTACAAAAATTAAATAAATAGGAAATTCTCAAGTGACAACAGAGGGAATGGAGCTTTTAAGAAAACTTTGCTATTTTGCCTTTTTTCTGAATAAGGGAGCACATGTCATGGTCACATCCAGATTAGATTACTGAAACAAGACAACCTTGGAAGAGTGCTTGGAAATTTCAGCTAAGGCAGAATGTAGCAGCTACAATACCACTTGAAGCCTACTGATTTGATCACTAGTTTTGCTGTTGGTCCATTCCAAGCTCAGTTTGAAGTGCTAGGTCTGACCTTTAAAGCCCAAAGTGGTTTGGAAACTAGATATATTAAGAACTGTGTACATAATCACAACTTCAGTAGAGCCTTGCTCTTTTTATCAGTAACCAAGAAACAATGTATGAATAAATGGGAACAGTCTCCATTAATTTATGCTATATAAACATGTTTTATAAATACTTGAATGACTGATAAGGTATTCCAACCTATAGCAGTGGTTCCCAATCTTTTTGACCAGGCCCCACTTGAATGGGGGCCACTTGACCAGGGACACTTTGACCAGGAACCACTCTCCAAACATTAGTACCAAAAGGGGCTGGGTTGGTTAGCTCTGTAGAAAAGAATGGAAATAAAAATAAATAAAGAGGAAGGAGGTTCACAGACCGGGTTTTTGTTCTCGTGGTTCACCGCTGGGCCACAGCCCACAAGTTGAGAACCACTGGTCTATAGTGTACCAGATAATCAAACTATGTGTATAGATAGATGCCAGGGAATGACATCCCAAAAGAATCTGTTAAAATTTTGGATCGATTGGCAAACTTTGGCTTCTTTGAAAAACCGTCAGCACCCCTGTTCATTTTTAATGGAAGAAATATTAAACTTCCAAACTGGTACCATTAAAAATAAATCGAATTAAAATAATAAGCAAAATTATCAGTTTCAACCCAAACAATGCTGTTAAATTTTCTAGTAATTAATACTAGGTATGTAATAGTGGGTATGTGTTCTGAAAACCTAGATGTTGATCATTACCAGTCTACTCTTCCATTTAGAGGAAAGTTTTGAGATGGTTTAGGTTTCACATGATGAATGATAAGGCTAGTCAATGTTCCATATAAAAAAAACATGCCCTCAAATATGTCTCATAATTCACTGCAAGGCACTGGGCTACATAACAAATCTACATTAAGGCATTCCCTAGGTAAATGTGAATCTAGCTAATCCAGAACGACTTTTGGAAAATTTATACTCTGAAACACTTTTCCTAAACATACAAAGTTGTTTAAACCAAACTGAAGACATTTCCTGTTTAAATAATCTATATGTTAGTTACTAACTCCCTCATTAGACGGGGTACTTTTCGGCAGTGTGCACCAGTTCCTCTTTACTTTTGCAATGGAGCCTGCCGGTTCCCATCCCTTGATGTACAGCTACTTCCAGCGGGGCTCCATCATAAAAGCAAAGGGGAACCGGTGCATGCCACTGCCATGGCAACACAGGAGGCTTTCCGTGTTATATTGGTAACAATGAAAGGAAGCCGGATGGTAGATGCTCCCCCCCCCCCCAACCATGGGATGGGATTTCTTGTAAGTTGGCTGATACAGGTCATGGGGCAACGGGTTCCCCAATGAAAGGAAGGCGGATGGCAGATGCTCCCCACCCCCCAATGGGATGGGATTTCTTGTAAGTTGGGGGATGCAGGCTGTGGGGCGATGGGTTCCCCACACACTCCAAAGGACTCTGCTGGATACTCCACAATCCATGGCAATTCTGGCCACATATATGATGAAGTCGTTCTAGAATACATCCATTTACACTATGCAGATATTCTATCTTAAAACCAAAGCTTTTAGTCCTCTGCTCTTACAAATAGCTATACACTTCTTTGAATACTCACAACGATACATGTAGAATGAAATCAATCTGGTTTCAAAGTCTGCTGAACAGAATGTTGCTGTTATCAACACAATTCAAAGGTTTTCATTTGGCTGTTCAAGTCCTCCTACTTGATTTTCAAATTTCTGTCATTGATAGAATTTTGTTTATGTGTAACAGGTACTTGAATATTATATAGAATAACTTAACCAGCATAAAATTGCAGACAAAAAAAATCATACATAACAGAAAAATAGTTTATAGTTATTTATGGAATTTAAGCACTTGCTAACTTAATGATAGTGCATTAGAAGGTAATTTTCTTACAGAAAACCCTAATTTTGCTTCCAGAATATGGTAAGTTAGACCAACCAAATAGCTATTATTGAATTTACTCATGCTTACAGATGTGGTCATGAGTGTATTTGCTCCTAGAATAGCACTTTTTGACTAAACATCTGCATTGCTATGGACCCAGTTGAAGGAAAACATAAAACTATGTATAGGAAATAATTCAAAACAAATAGAAACAGCATCCCATTCCATTGTATTAAATTAAGATTTGAATAAGCTGTCACTATTATTTAAGAAAACCATGTTTTGTTTTAAAATTTGCAGGGAAACTTGAGATCTGCTAAACTGATTGCTTAACAGGATTGCATGCATGAACAAAAGGTCCCATTTATATTTCTCTTTAATAAGCAGTGTGATATAATTGTCCGATCCAGGCCACTGTGTGAAGATGAACTAAAATAGATAGCATACATACAGGAAGCAAAGAAGTGGTGTGTGATGATTATTATCTACATGCCAAAAATTACACCTAGTACATTTCCATTGGGATAATGCACTGCACACTGTGTCCTACTAAAACCAAAGGCAATCTGAAAGTGCTTAAATTAAACTAGGCAGTGCTCCTGTTTCAACACAATTCATTTCACTGTTTAATTTGGAGTAACTTATCTCATCATAATAAAACATAGTTAAATAAAATGTATGAACCATATACTCTACAGCAGTGGTTCACAACCTGTGCGCCACGGTCTCAACAGTGGGCAGCAAGAACGAAAATCCGGTCCACGAACCACCTTCCCCTTTATTTTATTTTATTTGCTTTTCACAGAGCTGACCAGCCCTGGCCCTTTTGGTACTAATGTTGAAGAGTGGTCCCTGGTCAAAGTGGTCCCCAGTTAAAGTGGGCCCTGGTCAAGTGGGCTGTGGTAAAGTTGGCCCTGTTCAAAAACAGGTTGGGAACCACTGCTCTTCAGAGAAAACTGAAGAAATAAACCAGAGAACACTGATGTAAGATGAATGGTTAGGATGCCATATTGTCCATGGGTGGCAAAAAGAGAAACAGATATGAATTACTTTTATAGAAATTAAAAGAGAAGGATGGCACTCTTTTCTGTTGTTTATTAATTACACCAAGGAGTTGCACTATAATCTTATTAGTCCTAGAAGAGAAAACAATTTTTCTGGTAATTTATGTAGCAACACATGCACACACGGGAGTGGAATGAAAATAGCAGCAACAAAACTCCTATATATAAAACTATGCAGACAGAACTTAAATTGAAGTCGCACGCTCATAACTACATGGCTTCAAATCAAGGTTAGGGTGACCTGTAAATCAGATCAGTGATAATTCAGATCATGGGTAATGTTTCCTTAAATATTTATATTTAAGACAAGAGGTTGTC